GCTCAACATCATGAAAATTAAACCTTATTTTCAATAAGCAATCCTGAAAAATATTTGGGGGTGCTTAACTTTTTTCCAGGTGTATATTTTCAATCTATCACTCTTTATTTGGTTCTCGCTCAACAGGTCAGCTTGAAATGCAAATCACATTTGGTTTTTCAATTAAGGCTGTACACCAAACCTTAACTATTTCAGCACAGGCTTGGTCCCTGGAACTGACCTCATAACCATTTTGTGCTTGTTATACTTTTTATGTTATAACTTTTAAATTAGTAAATGAATGTTAACCAAATTTGGCACATTGACTTTAAACATTTCAATGCTTTCACATACAAAATATCAAATTTTTTTAATAAGTCTTAAGGTTCGTAAAGCAATGTTTTTCTCATGCCTTTTTTTTTTTTCTTTTCACATGTTACCTATCTAACATACAAAGTAATTTTCATTTTAGGATTAAAATACTTTTATGCATCAGAAAATTTTTAAATTTCATATGCGAAATCTTTATAATGTCCAGATAGATATCAAATGTTCCTTAAGAAAAAACTATATATGTACGATATCTGTAGATTTGACTGATCTCGTAACCACCATAAAAAAATCACGAAATGAATATAAATTATGCCTCTTTCATTCTAAATTGTTCACAAATTATAACTAGAAAACATAAATGTTTAGACTAAATAGCTTAAGTCTCATAACATTATACATTTATATATATATATTTATTATTTTTATTATATTAACCTTTAAAACATGCCTGGCGAACAATACAGAAGTTACAGTGACACGTCACACACGCATTCATGTTACTGTATCCAATAACATAAAACTGACCCTTGGTCTGTACAAAGTAACTTGTCTTGATGTGTTTTAGTAGACTAATATTTTGTAAAATACAGTCACATTTCAATTATTATACATTATATATGTATATAGATTATTGTTATTTAGAAATAAGTTTTTAAACTTATTTTTCTTAAAACATAGAACAGTAGATAAAGAAGTAAAGCAAACAATTATCTCTTGTAGTTACGACCTTTGTACTCGGTTGCTGCTTGATGTAGGATGCTAAGCCTTTAAAAATTTTGCATGTGGAGGATATGAAACAAAATAATTTTTTTTAGGTTTTCTATATATATTTGAATAACTAAAAAATCATAAATTACTACATTAATACCATAGTATTCACCTATTATTTATCAAGCTTAGTAACTAAGATGTATTTTAGTCAAAAAGAAATTTTGACCACCCGGGTATCTAATACTCACTGCAAAATGCTTCATACACAAGGCAAGCACAAGTACTTTGCTTTGAACTTTGTACCATAAAAAAACTAAACAGCATATAGTTTGCACACAGCTGTCCACAATCAGCTTCTAACAGGTTTCATCAATGGCAATATACTGCACAAAAATAGACATGTGAAAGTACCATATAGTTAACCCTTTCATCTCAGGTAGGTCAAAGTGTGCATGTCACAATCTTTCACAGAGTTACATTCAAAACTTAATCAAACTAATTTATTATCAATGTGTATGAATAAACTTGGTATCAGAACATAAATAATAAATCAAAGTTTAGTGTTATTTAAGTGTTAAGTTCTTAATGATATATGGAAATATTTCTAAAACAATTCTCAATCTCCCCTACTATGAGAACTGTGATGTTTGTACCTATGTCTTCCCTCTTCTCTAATGTTTTACCACCCCTCCAAGAAGTACAAAATTTTATGTAAATTACTCATTGTAATGTTGACATCACTCTGGCAAAGTATAATTCACATACCCTTCAATCTTACTTAGTTACAGAGCAATAAAATAGAAAATCAGACCCCTCTTGCCACACCCAACTGTCACATCCTCTCTTTCATAAATTGACAGTAGTTGTCTATGACATTTAAGATTATATTATTTATAACCAATAGAAATCCAAAGTTTTTCTCTATCAAAGGACGTAATATATTATGTTATTTTCTGTACAGAGAATTGTCTATTTTCCTTCCAATTCAAACTTCATTCCTGCAAGAAACACACTAGCGAGCTTAGCTCTTGTCGCTCCTTTGTGCATTATTCAATTAAACAGATATTATTTAATGCAGTAGTACCATTAGTATAAAAAAGTGGGGTTAAGTTCATCGTCAGTTGAGAGCAAAAAAAAACCAGGTAAGTATTTTATTTCTCATTTTTCATGGTTATTCTTTATTATTATAAAAGTAACTAAAATTTAAAAACTGAAAATTTTTGTGGTTAGATGAAGTAAAAGAAATAATATTAATAGTCTTTTTTTTTTTTATGAGGTACACTTGCATGTATTCTTTATTATTATAGAAGTAACTAAAATTTAAAAACTGAAAATTTTTGGGTTAGACAAAGTAAAAGAAATAATATGGATAGTAATTTTTTTATGAGGTACACTTGCGAGTAGTCCATGCATTATGTAATTCAATAATATAAACAATAAAATTTATGTATAAATAAATGTATGCTGTTACAAGCTGTAAGCTACTTAGGATAAACAGTTGTGGTTTTCTGTTATAATTTGCAGTCATTCGAGAAAGAAAATAGGGGAAATTTAATATTATTTCCTAATTTTTTATGGTGGTTACAAAGTAGGTCAAATAAACCCACCTCATATAGAGTTAGGATAAAGTAAATAACAGATAAAGTATAAAGCTTTTCTGGAAAAAAATTTGATACTTATTTAGGAGGTTTTAGGAATAATTCAAATTTTCAGATGAAGTATTTTTAATCTCATCATGAAATTACTTTGCACTAATAAAGAAAAACAACATGCAGTGTATTTTGTAAATAAGGTTTTTCCACTGAACAGTAACATGTTATTTTCCATTTGTAGAAGGTAAACATGCAGTGTGCATTGTAAATAAAGTTTTTTGTTGACACTGAAGTGCTTTTTTTCCTTTCTTTTTTGAGTTTATTAAATTCTACCTATAGGACCCTTGAAAATCTTATTGGGACTCTTGAAAAAAAAAAGATGAGAGACCAGAACTCCAGTGAGAACCCTGATGCAGTCAATATGTTTCTTGGTTTGTATTTCAATATGTTTTTATTTGTAAAATATTATTTCTTTCATCTTTAGAATACAATGGTATAAATGCAAGTCATATCAAAGATTCAATATGCATTCTTTTATCCATTTATCTTCAGACTTCTGATGAGGTACAACATGGCAGACAGGAGCATGAAGCATAGAATCTTCAGTGACTGTAATTTTTTGCTCTAATATTAACATTATGTAGATATACCAATCCCACAAATCAATACATGAATAAATGAACTCTGACATCACATACACACACTTTTATCTGCAGTTCCTAATAATGTCATATAATAAGCAAATAATTTCAAAAATATATTACAGTACCACCAATCACATCTTTCTTTTGAAATGAACAAAATTAATTACATATTATGAAAGCTAGTCTTTAAAGGTTCAATTTCCTGTTTCTTTCATATAAACACTTATATCATCAAAGCTATATTACACTTAAACTGTATAGTTAGTTATAACACTGCAAAGCAGACCAAAGGAGTTAAAAGTAGATACAGCAATGCTAAAACTCTGGCAATTCACAAGTCTTTATCAATCAAACTCATTGTGACCCAATTATTTTTATAATTAATAATGCCTTTAATTTAAACATTACAACACTTCTAAGATATACTTGATCATACATAAGAAGTGACTTGTAAGTTGTAATAATAATACTAATATTTCAAAATGTTGGAAATCATAAAACCTAAGCCAACCCAGGCTAAACTTTGTTATCTTGTTCAAGTATTTTAACTGAGAAACCTCCAACAGTTAAAATATATTTTTTAATTTGCCTCAAAGCATTATTTTTAAAATGTCACATTTCCAAGTTATTGATTTGAACAGTAAATTGCATGTTTTTGTTTTGTTTGTTTTTAAAATGCAAAATACACACTGAGTACAGGACAGACTGTTTATGAAATTAAATTTAAACAAGGTGAGACCTGACAGTAGACTTTTAAATTTAAGTTTTATATTAGTTTTATAACACTAAATAACGGCATATATACTATTATAGCAATCCTATCCAGCAATATTTTTTGATCAAAGAGTAAACAGAAATTCATTAAATTCTCACCTGGGAATTTTTGTTCATAAATTTGCGTTTCATCATTACTTGTACAATTGGTACAGGTAGTAGCAGTACAATCAAACTTACAAGTGTTGTCAGTTTTGCCGCTAGAATAAATTGTATTTCTTGCGGCAGGAGCACTGTTGTCCATTTCAATTTTTTTTCACAGAACAATAAAATATATCCACTAGTTTTAATTTTTAAGAGAATCTACACCATCAAGGTATTATACTTAGTCTTATAGTTAGAAAGCTATTTACAAAGCAGTAACTAAGCGCACCGAGAGTTCAATTGTTCTTGTAATGCAAAACCATGGCAATGCACGAGTCATTAGTAATAGTATCAAATTTAAACTTCACTTTTTTATCTTCAACTTGACTCTTGAGTTGTCAACTAAGTTCAAACTTCCAGAGTATTAATACTCAAATTCAACGATATTTTCAAGTCGATATCACGATAACCCATTTATGTTTATAACTTATTCATAAGTTAATGAGTAACAGCTAGAACATTATTCATTGAAGGAATGTCATTTTTTTTCTTATTTTCACAAACATTTATTCCATTGCACAAGTTCTTCCACTATTACTAGACTCGTCAAACTGTGTCAAAGTGACAAGCTCTCCAATTTAATCCTTACATCAATCATGGAAACTGAAACCTTAAGAGTTAAACTTAAAGTTACCATCCTTGGACTTCGTCTTGTTCTAAACAAGTTAATCGGGAGGGTCCACAAATTTTTGATCAATAAACCCGTCACAGAAAGTGAAGCCTTAAAATGTTAAAGTAGCCATCCTTAAGTTAAACTTAGGTCACCTTGTAAACAATCGAGCGGCTTCTGATGGCGTATAAGGCACTTCAATTAAAACCAAATGTCTCATGGGCCAAAAGATAAAGGTATTACATTTTCTGTACATACAGGTATGCTTATTTTATATAAACAAATAAAGTAAGGAAATTAGATTTCAAATGTATCATTATTTAATGCAAATTTTACGGATAAGCTTTATAAACTTTATTTCGATAATTTCATGCCAGTGTAAACTGAACAGATGATATTTTAGAATGGCAAAAATACGATTGTCTTTCTCAACTTATAAGTTGTTTTAAATTAGTTTATTTGTGATCAATATAGTTAATTTATTTTCACTTAGAAGTTGCCAATAATACGTCAGTATTAAAAAACGAAAAAATTGACTTCAAAGGATATGCACGAGGAATGAAAAGTAGTAATGGCCTAACAAGATGTTGAAAATATGGAGATACATATGCCACAGTTAACATAACCCTTTCATATCTAGATTATAATATATCTATAGTAAGTATATTGATGTACTTTTTTCTTAACCTACGTGTAGGTAATTAATGACACCCTTAGTTTTCCTAAGGATTTTTTCAACTGCACAATTATATTTAAATTTCATCATTTTTTAACACATGACGCCTTATTGCACCTCATATATACAGGCCTAGTAACAAATAATAATAATAATAAAAGATGAATATTCTAGTAAATACATTTATTTATCAACAATTTTATCATCTTAAATATATTTTTATTTTATATATATAGGTGAATTTTCAACTGCAGAACTTTTTTACAGGAGCACAATTTGTGGTCAACTACACACTAGGAAAATTCCTGTACTGTGGTATTTTTCGGCTCTCATACTTACGTCATAGCTAACAAAAAGTTGCCCCCCCCCCCAGTGGCACAGCCGCATGTTTGCGGACTTACAACACTAGAAACCGGGTTTCGATACCCGTGGTGGGCAGAGCACAGATAGTCCATTGTGTATCTTTGTGCTTAACTTCAAACAAACTAACTTACTAACAAAAAGTTCAGGGAAATCCAGTCACAAAATGCGTTTCTCTCCGAACTCTCGACGGAATTCATGGCACAAATCTACAGATGAAACAATTTGGTTTGAATTTCGCGCAAAGCTACACGAGGGCTATCTGCGCCAGCCGCCCCTAATTTAGCATTCTAAGAATGGAGGGAAGGCAGCTAGTCAGCACCAACTCTTGGGCTACTCTTTTACCAACGAATAGTGGGATTGAGTGTCATGTTATAACGCCCCCATGGCTGAAAGGGCGAGCATGTTTGGCGTAACGGGGATTCGAACCCACGACCCACAGATTGCGAGTCGAGCGCCCTAGCCACCTGGCCATACCAGGCCAGATGAAACAAGATATTTATTACATACTAAAACGAAACAGAATACAATATCACACACGTACGTAGGCGGGGGTGGAGTGTTAGAGGGGTTCTCCAGACCTCACTATTTCTGTGTTGTGAAAAAATTATGCTTCTATAGCTATAGCGCAACTGCTTAAGGTATTTAATGTTTTCTACATATTCTACATTCTGATAATGAACCATTAGCATTTTTTGGTTTGAAATAGTCGCGTGCAGTGGCTTCTCTTGACACTTTGTAAATGGAATTCTAAAACTGTATTGCTGCTGTTGGGTTTTATATGTGTCTGTGACTTGTTTGCGATAAATTTGAACAATAAACAAACAGCAACACAGTCCACTTCTTTTAAAATAATATATTAAAACAAGTTAAGCATATATACAAATGTTCATTACACTGTTGGTTATCGTAGTTGACCCAGAGCTTTAAATAATTGTCTCTTTTTCATCAAAGTCCACACAGACTGGTTCAATTACTTTATAACAGAATTTACAAGACGAATTAATCTCTGTGCTCTGTTATTACAATACAGTCTGTGATAATTTCACTTTATAACTCGCCACTGTATGCTCTTTATCGCTAATCTCACAGCCATGCAGTCTAGATCCAAATAATAATCTTTCGACTCGTATTTATACTCCTACAGAAGTCTGTAAAATTCTACGCAATACTAGATGTCATGATGCAATAATACTCAATTAAAACAACGAGAAAAATTCAGAAAGTTATTGTAACATGATGCAACAATATAACAATCGTTAACTCCTAACAATTGATGAAGAACATCATCTATGGAAAACAAGTTTGCTTTCTATACGTCTCCAGAACATTCCCTAGATACTGGCTGTCTGCATAAATTCAGTGTACCAAATATCTTTATGTTACTGAAAATCTTTGTCACACTTCCACTAAGTTCATGTTCATGTGAACATTCAGTATCTGTTCTCCGGCAGTTGAATAATTACCTGAGGTATACAAAAAAACGAAGAAAGAACTGAGTGTTCTAGCTTTGATACATAATCATTATGACACTGCTACCAACATTGAAACTGTATGTAAGTTATTTATGGAAAAGTGCCTGGCATGGCCAGGTGGATAAGGCGCTCAACCCACAATCTGAGGGTCG